TTAAAAAATCATAAGCCCAACAACAACCAACCAATAGACAATTGACAATTTACAACAAAATCTCAATCTCCAATTCAACATACACACATAATCGATAAGCAATTAGCAATTCCCAATCTTCAAAACACCACCACATTCAAACATATTATAACAATTCCCAATCTCCAAACAACTCCAAACTATGTCAAAAGTTGAGATAAGCCATGCGGATAAATTAACCGGAAATGAGGCTCGTGTCGCTGTTGTCGGTTCGCGCCGGAATGGGGATGGAATCGCAATTTTTTTGAAGGTTTTTTCGCTCTTCTCTTCTCTGTTCGTCTAACTGCTCTCTTTCTCTAGGTAATTGTTGCAATGCGTAAGAGAAGAAGAGATTTTTTTTAATATTCAGAATGCGTTTTACTCCTAATTTATTGTAAAATGTATTTTCGAAATACTTTTTAATTAATTATTTTTTATTAAAACGACGTTTTAATAAAAATGCATTCTATAGTGAAGACGTTTTTATAAATTGCAAAGCGTATTCTTATTATACATTTTTCAATATATTTTTTTATTAAAACGCATGTTTTAATGAAAACGCTAATATGTTTTTATTAAAACATTTTTTTTTATGAAAGTTTTTTTTAATTAAAATATATAAGTATTTCCGTAATAAGTTTTAAACACTTATAATTTGGGGAGGTAAAAAATCAGGCTCGCGAAAAAAAAGGGAATTCTCAACCTCCGTCGCTCTCTCCTCTTTCGCTGCGCTTTGCCTTCCTAGGCGACGGCGCGACCATGGCCAGTGGTCGCCCTCGACTGCTCGGCCACCTTCTGATGTCTCGTACCTTCGATTTGTCGCGGCAGCTTTGAGATGTGAGGGCTGCTCTTGCCCTAGATCACCGGCGGGCTACTGATTGGTGAAGGTGGAGATCTTCTCGGTTGGAGCTTGGCCTGTGATTGGTGGTGTCGATTGCCGGCAGGTCTCGACAGGCAGTGGACTTCCCTTAAATCTGCTTTTATCAGCGACTTTTTTGATCCCCGCGGGCGGCTGCGATTTCCAGCGGGCTCCCGTTGGGGCTTCTCATCTTAGTTGCCGACGGTTCGCGGTGAAGTTGTTAGGTTCGAGGGCAGCAAGTGGGCGGGGCTCTGGCGGCGTCTTGTGTTGGTGCAGTCAGAGTAGCAGAATCGTTTCGCTCTCTCCCTCTCAGTTCTCTGGTGTTGGGATCGGGTGGGGCCCGGAGCACCTGAGCTTGACTAGTGGTGTTAGACAAGCTCGGGCTGCGATGGTGTGGGGAGATAGTGTCGTT